GGAAAGCCAAGGAAGGGTAACATAAGTTGTGTGTAAATTCAGGAAATGTGGAAGATATTTGCTGCAACAAATGATGGTTAGGGTTAAATGTGAGTTTGAAAGTAGCTAGAAAATTATCTTCCAGGCTACATAGTGGAAAGTCACCAACAGAGTCCTAAAATGTAGTCTGGACAGAGAGTCAGAGTGGGCAATTTGGTCTGGCAAAGTGAATGGCAAGGGCTAATAATCCATGGGGAATAGGTGCTTTGTAAAATAAGCTGTTTCTTCATTGATGTTGTTAGATCACCATCTAGAGGACATTTAAAAACACGTACTTGTCAATCTACTGTAGTTTCTTGAAATTTTATTTCTATTCATTGAGTCTGTGTGAGTCAAGCAGCACAAATTAGTAATAACTGGTTAAACACTGAAGTGGGAAATTCATTATATTTTCCACTCCACTGGCACATTTTTTGTTCAGTTTCAGACAGTGGTTAGCTACAAATATGTTTGGGATTAAGCGTGATCTTTTCATATCTGGTAGTGTCCTATTGTTATAATCCTATCTCCTTCATTCTCTTTTGAACTTTGAGCAGAGAGATGGGTTTTTTATTCCAAAAAATGTTCACACTATTTTCTTGCTTTAGAGTGTTGTTAGCTACATATGATGCAAAGTTTTTGCCTAACTGCATATGACATGTTTGTATGTCACATGAGTGCCATGATGTCACAATGCGCCCCAGCCAAGACTGTGGTGGTGGTTCAGTCCAGACTCTGTTAGCTGAAAAGCAGTGAGGAGCAAAAGTGTCTTGTGCTGCACGGGAAAATAGAATGGGGCGTAATCCAACCCTGATCGTTTTCCTGGGCTTTACCATCTATCTGATGGGTTTGTTCCCAGTCACTTACTGCTCAGTCTTCTCCAATGCCTTTGCACCAGTGGAAAGCCAGACCATGATTCTCACTGCAAAGAGTGGACAGCAAGAGGGAAACAGTCCATCAGCAGGTGAGAGGAAGGGTTGAAGTTGGAGGATGAGAAGGAAGGGGCTTGGAGAGCAACCAAAGGCAGGAAATGAGAAAGGGTGTGGACACAGAAGCTTGGTTTTGTAAAGAGAAAATCAGAGAGGGAACAAGAAGATCTATGTCAAGGTGAACTGGGGGTCAGATGGTCCCTAAGGAACAGGGAACCAGCAATGGAAGGAGATAGAAAGGCCAGCAGGGCAGGGACCCAGTTCCCACAGCCACGAGCAGGACAGGCCTGGGTATGGCAGTCAGGGGCAGACAAGGGGTCACCAGGGAAGTCCATGATGTTGAGACAAGTCCAAGTTCAAGGAGGAATACCAGTCAGTGTCAGGGTCAAACGTAGTGGTGGTGACCAGAGTCAGACACAGTCCAGTGACTGCCCAGCCCTACACTTACACAGGGCAGAGGATGTGGGAGAGGCACACGTTCAGGCTGCTTCATGGATATTAAGGCCTCTTAGATCACCCATAGCCCCGACTGCAGCCTCCCATCTCAGCTGGTCCCCCTCACACCCCAGAGAGATCCAAAAGGAAAGGTCCAGGCCACTCCTGGGGAGCAGGAAAGAAATGAAAGAAAGCAGGGTCAGACACAGTCCATTGCTGCAGGAAAGTCAATAGCATTAAGCCATATTCAAGGTCAAAACAGGAAGACAATTCATCGGTCAAGATCCAGAATAACAAGGTCCATGGCCAGGCACAGCTGTGATGGAGATGGAGGTGGAGATATGTATACTTGCAACAGACCACAAATACAGATCTTAGGTCCAAGCTTAAATAAAGCTCCTAAACCCATAGGATTCAGCTGAGGCTGTTAAGAGCCATTACAACCTGTTACTACAGTCGTGGCCCTGAAAAGATAAAACCCCATAAATGTATCTGGGATGACTTATAATGTAGAAGTACAGGAAAGAAAGAAAGAAGATGCAAAGGAAGAAGAGTGAGGACAAAGCAATATCTGAAATAAAAGATTTCAAAAACAGAATCACAGAAACAAGACAAGGATAACACAAGCAGAGATGGAATGGGGTATAATGCCAATCTGCCTAGGGTGAAGGAGAAAATGGACATGCAGAAAGGGTGAGATGGATTTGAAAGTTTAGAAAGCGGGGCGAGAAAAGTAGGGGAGGGAAGCAGAGGTATAAAGGATGAAAGAAGTATGAAAAGATGCAAAGTATGAAAGAAGTGAAAAAGAAGAAAGCTTATGTTGTCCCTTTTCCCCCAGTCACAGGTTGGGAGGAAATGGAGGAGACTTTTGTGGCTTCATCAACAGGGGAAGGAATGGAGGTGATCGATATGGTGCAGTCTGAGGACTCAGAGACACTGAGCAATTCAGCAGATCTGCTGTTGGATCTGGCTCTTTCCCTGAAGATTGGCAGCATTGTGCTCTTTTTTTTATGCATGACATAGAGCATGAAATCATTTCTGTGATCGTGGATGATAACAATTTGAGCGTCTAGCTGTGTTTCGTGGTCACTTTCTGGACAATACGGCTCCTCTTCATCAACCACATGCCAGGGAACACAGAAGACAAAGGCAGAGACCTTGTGCGTGTATTGAAAGTTGTTTTCTTTCTCCTTGAGAAACACAATAAATTCTCATGTAATTTTTTCTAAGCCAGACTTCTTGCACTTCCCATATGTTCTTTGTGTAAAAACAACACCATAGTTTCTAATAAGAATTGATCCAACTCACCAACTTCAGGGGTGACCCTGTCTTTGAAACAGAATATTCATAAATTCATCATGTATTGTAAGAACAAGAAAAAAAAAGCATATTCCAGGGGACGGTGCCCCACATACACTTAACAAGATAGATACAAGAAAAGTTAAGACTTCTCAAAATGCAGACTGTCAGTGCCTTTTGTTTTTCTAAACCATATAAACACAGAAGCCAACTAGTCTCAGAACACTGAAATGACATCTGTATTACAGACAATGTTAATTGCTATTAACATCTTAAAAAAAGACAGTCTGGACAAGCTTCTAGGAGAAAATTGAATGAGCGAAGGAGGAGTATACACTTTAAATGATAACAACAAGCACAGGTCTAATTTCGTTATTTTTTTATGATGAGTAAATAAATTATTTTGAGGCATTATTATCCATGACTTGGAAGTTCAGCTAAGAATGACAGTTGTGTTGGAACAATACAAATACAGAACAGAGAAACAGGCCTGATCATAAAGAGTTTGCAATCAAAGTAATTTTTTATTAGTATTTTAGTTAAGTAATGAAAACAAAATCTCTAAACAGTCTGTTCCTGGAAAATATTTTGCTGCATTGGTCAGTACTTAGAAAGTGTTAACACAGTTATTTTACAAGGCTTACATTAATGAGGGATGTTTCCACTTGACATCACCTATTCCACAAACAGTCCCCACACAGCCAATATAACAGGTAAAATAAAAATGCTCCCATAATCAAGAACAATTTGAAGAGTATGGAAAAGGGAGGAGTATTTTGTATACTTATTAACATTGGTAAATTTTAGAATATTGGTATAAATTTTCTAATTATGAGAACCTGAAATGGATGTAATTATTAATGGTTGATCTTGAGAATGTATTTTAGGCATTTCTACTGCTACACCAAAACATGTTGCTTCTTACTCTGTTTTTCCTCCAAATTAAATTAACACCTAACATTCATTTTGAAGTAAAAAGTAAAATCCTGCAGCAGCTCTATTCATCTGTTTGGATGGTAAATATTTACAAATGTAGGGATGAGAGAACCTTCAGGGATGAGAGAATCAGGTTCGGGATCCAGAGAAATTCTTGGATTTCTAATTAATCAATCTTCAGACTTCTAGGAAACCCTCATAACTGTCCCATACTCCACCCTGAACCATATCTTTAACCCTAGAAACTAAAAAAAGAAAGTCTTGTTGAAAAAGAAAGAAGAAAGAGAACCTGTTCTCAGCTTCCAGTCCCTCTCCCACTAATGGGGATGCTTTAGTCTTTCCCCTTTTTTCTCTTATGAGTTTTGCTGATTAAACAAAAACAGAACAGAGAAGGCCTTCAGTAACCTGCATTATTACAAAAACAGAACAGAGAAGGCCTTCAGTAACCTTCATTATTAAGTGACTTATCTTTCAGCCTGCAAACTATAGTCACTCTTTCCTAGTACCTGTCTCAATTTATTAGTAAAAGAAGAGAAGAAGATTCTTCCCTCTCTTTATAAAGTACGTGTGTGGTTTGCATAGTAACCCATAAGATTTTCCTAGGAGTCATTAACTCATGAACAACTCTTAGAGCTCCAGCTTATTGACCTGTCCATTAGACATGACTGGGAAGCTGCTGGAGTAGACAGGGAAATGCACTGAACAGAGGGACTAATAATGTAACAGTCTGTCTGTTTACAGCTCCTCAGGAGTTGCTGCCTGCTAGAGACTGACTAGTCACCTTGCTACCTTGGGACTTGTTAAACTCCAGAGTTACATCTGGGACAGTGTTCTGAGAGCCTTGGAGTAGACCTTCTTCACTTATAAGCTCAGTTTAAAAATTTCTCTACCATTAACTTCTACGGAGAGGATAACAATAAAAGGAAGGTAACGGAGTGTCACCCATGTCACCCCAAGGGCCCTGCAAAGATGGTCATACTTTCAGGGTCAGGAATTCCTGTCCCTGGGGTCATATCTCTCTTCCTCCTTTCCCATGCAGATTACCAGATGCGGCATTTGTTGACTGGGTTCATTGGGGATCCACTGGAACAGTGGAAGAGCTTGGAGAAGTCCTGGCTGTTGCTGACAGGCCCACAGACACGAAGTGGCAAGGGACTATGTGGATCTGTGCTCAGGGAAGACTGTAGCTTTTCTGACTCCTGGTGTCCACACATTGCCTGAAAGAAAGTAAAACAAAAAAGTCAGTTTGGCTGAAAGTCCTCATGGGATCAAGTCTTAAGGCTCCTCATACCTCTGCACACGCCTGAGAGTGCTAGAGTAAACAACGCAACATGCATACATGGCTGCCAACGGTCTGTCTTATGACTGTTTTTCTTTTCCTTAAATTTCTCTTTCCTAATTTCTCTATCTGACAATCAGTTCTTTTTCTGTACTGCATAGTCCAGAGCACAGGGAATTTAGGCCACCTCGGCTAGGCTCATTCAACATTGGACTCTGTCTAAAGTAATACTAAAGATATTGTCTCAGTGTCTAGTTTCAGCTTGTTAAGTCAAATCAATGAGTGCTCCTCAAGAAAAGAGAGCACTTACACAAAATCCCACTGCTACCTGAGAGACTCAGGGGAGGATTATGTGACTTTACTAGTGTTAAACTGGCAATCCAAGTCTTCATTCTCGTGATTTCGGTCTTTATTCATTGACAAATGATGCAGTAGCTGCCAGATAACCTCTGAAATGCAAATCTTGCCACCAAGACTCAATAATCTCCTTTTTTACACACTGCTCTGACCTAATCTCGATACATGCACAAAACTTTTCCCTTTGAACAATTACAGTGACTTACAAGGGTGTGACTTTTCTGAGCTCAGAAATCCAATGATCTATCACAAGGAACTCAACAGCACTGCTATGCACAATTGCACAACTTTGCAGAAATCCTTAAAGCAAGTTCCCACAGAAATGTGTAACTATGTGTGCATGTCCTTCTAGTTCTTTATCTCTAAATAACATTTGAAACTCTTTTTTTTCCACTACCAGTCACTCAGAATGATATGACATCTAGTTATTCAGCACGACAGAAAGGCAAATGGAGGAAGGGATGGAGAGGTACACAACTTTTGCAGGAAGATTTCACTTTTCATGAGTAAGATTTCTCATAACAGCAAAAAGAACCCTCAGAAGCTGGCAATGCTCTCCCTGATGCAGCTTGTCTGCTATGAGTTAATATTGGTAGATTTCAGATCTTTGTAAAATTTCTGTTCGCAGACAGGACTTTTGTTAGCTTTGAGATCTGTAACAGGGGCCCTACATGTGAATTTTAGTTTCTAAATAATATTCTGAATGTCACAAAATTATCGGTCATTCCCAGTTCTGTGAAGAGGGGGAATAGAGATTGAGTATCGAGAAAGACAAACTAATAATGGAGAGTGAGAAAGACATATGACTAGCTTGGAATTCATTACATGAGCAAAACTGAGGTAGAAAAGTTGATCATGTGAAAGTCCAATCTTGGATAAATCCTTCTCTTCTTTGTGCTTTTTCAGCCAGTTCTTATAGGCCTGTGGAGAGAGAAAATGACTAGTAATAAATCCTCCTTCAGACAGTATCCCAAGCTCATGTCTTCTGCCAGTGGAATCTATCAATCTAATATAGATTTAATAAATTAGCAAGATTGCATCATTCTCCTCACTCTGAGGCTCTCTGCTGCTGGCCATGCCCCTAATAACTCTAACGCAGGAGAATAACAACATAATTCCTTTCCTTCCCATTTCAGATACTCCCGCACACATTGTCATAAGAGAAGATGTAGTAACTGCACTATGAAAGAATGAAAATTACTTTCAAAACAATTCAAAAATATTTGAGTGTAAATTAAAAGACTTTCTACTTCTTATCATTCTTTGTGCAAGAATGTAAAAGTACCATCTTAGACCTATGGATCTCACAGCACTCTCAGTAATTAAACTGTTGAAGCATTGCATGAGGAAATAAAAAACTCTCTCTATATTAAAATATTGCTGAAAACATCTTTATGGAGTCATTTTACCACAACACAGAATTCTGTTTCACATCTCAGCTTACTTCCTCAAGTATAACACACACATATAAATAATAGCATGCCTTTGTATGCATGACATAAATGGGGAAGTAAAGATGGTGAAAGGGAGAAGTTGTTTTACATGGAAATAGTGAGGTTATGAGCAGAGCTTCATGAGGATTCTCTGTCTGGAATAACAGAGGGCAAGCAGGGCTCATGGTTCACTGGCACAAGTGTGCAAGAAATACGGAACTGGAGCAGCATATAGGAGAGGGGTACAGCAGAGCAGTCCTGTGACACGGCAGTTGAGTTGTGTGGTGAGACTATGAGATTAGAGAAGTGAACTACAATACCTGGTAAGCGATGGCAAGCCCTCCAGTGTCAGCTGTATTCTCCAACAGTGTAAAAGTGCCACTGACATTAAAGCTGTAGCTTTCATACTGTTCAACCAAGCAGTCTATAGATTTTTGTAGTGCGCTCCTGTTGCACGCAGGACAGCCCTCAGGCAACACTGTGGGAAAAAAAATCCTAGAAAGCAAAGCTATTTATGGCATTCACCTGTGTTCCTCACATTAATCCCTGATTCTTCTTAGTAGTCAGCATGGGCAGGAATTGGGTTTCCTTAACTTCATCTATCTTAATAATATATGTATACATTAAAATAGGGACTAGGATTTCATACCTTCTAAAGGGAAAGTACCAGTGGGACCTAGAAGAGTAAATAAAGAGCCAGTACCCACCATAACCATAGAATGAGTGGAGAATTTCATGTGCCATGAAGACTCCGATGGCTCCAAAGTTCACAGCACTGAAAAAGAAAGATGAAACAAGTGCTTTTGGAAAGAAAAAGAGGGTGGATGAGCATCCCTTATAGCCATGGAGCCCAACTGTGGGCTCAACAGGCACATTCTACTCTGAGAGCACACACAGAAGCATTTCTTAT